GATGGCATAATGGCTACATTGCTGGACTCCAATGTAGTTGACTGCAGTTCGAATCCTGGATCTGGTGGCTTAAACTCATGCCAGGTTTGTGTGTGTGCATGCCCAAGATCCTGAGAGGACAATGGAGGAGAAGGGGTTGCGGCATGGCCATCCCCCCCTGGGGGGGAGTGTGATTTCTTGCTTTCTGTCTCTCTGATGAGCGCACGTGCCCTATAGCAAAAAAAAACGCTCAAAAAAAAAGAAAGAAGAGAGAAAGAGAGAAAGAAAGATGCCTCCCAGAGTGACATGATTTCATTTTGATTTTGATATGAATACTTATCATATCTATCTTGATATTTTGATTACTAGCTAAAGGACTATTTAGAAAGTAAAATGAAGTCACAAGATTTAATCTGACTTGAAGTTGTGAGTTTGATTAAAAATAATTATCTTATTAATTTTAATTATTTTCATAAGCAATTAAATTTTCACTAATCATTTATAATGCCCTATTACTGAATTTTACATGGGTTATGCTCAATAAGGGCTGATAATTTTCATTGGCACCAGTCTTGAAACTTTAAGTAGCTCTCTTATTTGGAAAGATTTTTACTATTCTCTTTCAGTTTTTTTTTTTTTTTTTTCTCTTCTGAGCTTCACTTTCACATTACCTATTTCTATTAAGATCTTGACCTGGGGACAGCAGGTGGCATGGTGGTTAAAGTGCTGGACTCCCACACAGCTGACTGTGGTTCAAATCCTGGACCTGGAGGCTTGCTTTTTCACTTTCCCTGTCTTTCTCTGTGAGTACACATGCTCTGTAGCAAATTAAAACTAATAATAATGATAAATACAATTAAATAAGTAATTCTCTTAAAAAAAACCTTAACCTGTACTCATTACAGTGATCTAGAATTAAAAGATGGTGTGTAGTTATTTTTAAATATTCAGATACCCAATCTTTGAATATACTTTTATCTAAAAATGTAAATTAAATGTTAGAAAAAAATGAAAGGACAAAACATTATTCAGTAAAGCCAAAGTTTTTGATTTGTCACTAATTAAATCTCATTAAATATCTTTATAAAAATGAAACTACTTAAGTATTTGATGTCTATCTACTTGCCAATGTAAAGGATTTTAATGAATATCATGTTTCACATGTTATGCTGAGGCCTATATATTTATATGCAAATTGAAGAATAACCTGAATTTTGTAGTATTGTAAAAATAGTCTTTGGCTGTATGTGTAACTGTTGCAACATTATGTTAATGTTTGAGTACTTCAGAAATTGAACATTGAAACACAAAGGAAAGCAAGAAAATAGATCCTCTGGCATTACAGGGAAATGATACTTTGTAGTACAAGTATAAACTGCCTTCAGGCTAAGAAGAGTCCATGCAAATTATTCTTTCTTTACCTGTTGCTTCCTCCCTGCAGTCTGAAGTAACACCCAGCTCCTTCATGGACAGCAACACAAACACATCACAGTGTATTGGTCATATACTGTTGCGTAACAAACCAGCTCAAAACCAAGTTTTATAAGAACAGTGATGTATTTAGGGGCACAGTGATAAGGCGATGCTCTGCAAGGCTGAACCATGTAGGAAAGTTCTGCATTTGTATCCACAAAGCTCCCTGAACACACCAGGGTACATGTGTGCCCATGACCTGGGGCTGGCTGAAGCTGGGGTGCATCTTGGCATATAAGATCCTATTGGGCTGGGACTAGTAGATGGCGTAATGGTTACATTGCTAGACTCCCATGTGATTGACCAGGGTTCCAGTCCCAGACCCGGTGGCTTGAAACTTACATGGGTTCATGTATGTGAGTGCCAAAAATCCTGAGCGGAGAAGGGAGGAGAAATGATTGCAGCATGGCCACCACCCCCCCACCCCCCACCCCCGGGAGGTGGGTTCTCACTATCTGTCTCTCTAGTGAGCATACATTTCCTATAGCAAAAATCTCTCTCTGAAAAAAAAAAAAAAAAAGAAAAGAAAAGGGGGATCCTATTGGGGATGTTTCTCTCTCTCTCTCTCTTTTGAAAGAAAGAAGGAGACTTAAAAAGAAAGAGAAGAAAGAAAGGCAAGTAGGAAGTAAGGAAGAAAACAGTAATTGATTTTCTGAAGGTTGGTCAGAAACATTCTTTTGCTGGTTTCACTGAGGTTAATTTTTTAAAAAGAATTATTTTATTTAACTTCATTTGTTTGTTTATTTATTTAAATTTGACCAGAGAGGGACAAAGTGAGAAAGAGAGAGAGAGAGAGAGATGAAAAGTGAGAAAGCAAGCTGCCAGGTCTGGGACTCGAACCACGGTCAGCCATGTGGGAGTCCAGCACCCTTAACCATGCCACTTGCCAGCTCCCAATTAAAGTTAATCTTAGTACATATTTCTGGTGAATATATGTACACATTTTATTGGAGTACATAACACCTTTGACATATTTTCTTTTTTTCCCTAATGTTAGAAAGTACATATGTTCCTGTAGGAGAAAGAGAGCACCCTCAGTAGGGTCTCCTCACACCCTTGACCCTCTTCCCAGCCTTCCCAGCTCCTCGGGGTCCTGGGTGCCCATTGAAGCTCAGGTGTATTTCTCGGGCTGACCTGGGCTTTCAACACTGCAGGGTGTTAGGATTGTCACTGTGTTGTATCACAGTGGCTGGACCGCTCCTGAATTCTTAGTCAGCTTTTCTTTTTTTCCTAATCTTTACTCTAATTCCTGTAGGTAATGATAGAACCCATTGTCTACCTTCAAAATACGTCAAATTTTACGTTCAAAGTATTACCTGGGAGCTTATTTAAAATGCAGGTTTCTGAGTCTCGTCCCCAGGAGTCCTCATTATAAAGACGAGGCCCAGGAACCTGCATCTGTTGTTAGTTCCCGGGACTGGGGCCGGTGAGTGGCATAGTGGCATAGTGGCCGAGGTGCTGGACCCCCACATGACTGGCCCTGGTTTGAGTCTCAGACTTGGCAGCTTGTTTTCTCCCTTTTCCTCTCTCTCTCTCTTTCTCTCTCTCTCTCTCTCTCTTTCTCTGCCTCTCTTTGGTCAAATTAAAAAATAATGGTGGTAATAAATAAAATTACATAAAATAATTCATTAATTTTTTTTTTTTAATTCCTAGGACCAAACTGTGAAATACTGATCTACACTAGTACCTCTTGGACTCCATATTAACAGTACAGTTCCTAGAGATCAGTGGTTAAGGGGCTGGACACTCCCACATGGCTAACCACGATTCGAGTCCCAGACCTGGTGACTTGCTTTCTCACCTTCTCTCTGTGTCTCATTCTGGTCAAATGAAAAATAAATGAATTAATAAAGTTAAATAAATAATTTTAAAAATTTTCAAAAAAAAGGGACCAGAAGTTGATGCAATGGCTATGTCGCTGGACTCCCACATAGTCCACTGTGTTTTGAGGCCTGGACTCGGTGGCATAAACTCACGCTGGCACGTGTGCATGCGCACCCAAGATCCTGAGAGGAGAATGGAGGAGAAGGGATTGCGGCATGGCCATCCCCCCCCCCCCCCCCCCCCCCCCCGGGTGATTTCTCGCTTTCTGTCTCTCTGTCTCTCTCTGTCTTTTCTGGCGAGCGCATGCGCCCTGTAGCAAAGACCACTCAAAAAAAAAAAAAGTTCAAAAATAGTTTTAAAAAAGAGTACAGTTCCTTTTCCCTTTCACGTATTGCATAGACTGCCCTCTGATATCCCTGCCTCAGGCACACTTCTGTAGTAATTCTTATTAGTAGTTGCATATTTAAACCACCTGGGAATGTTGAAAAATTGCTGATGTCTCACCCATGGCAATTAAATCAGACTCTGGGAATGAGGCCCAGTTGCCAGTTTAATCTTAAAACAGCTCTGTAGATTTGGCTGTGTAACCAGAAAAGAAAATGGCTTTTTTTCTTTTTTTAATTTGCTATAGGACATGTGCACTCGCCAGAGAGCGAGAGGGGGACTTCTCCATCTTCACTAGCTTCTTCCTGGCTTCTCTTTCCTACTTCTCCAGCTTTGACATTCTACTGCACTGTGTCATCAATCCCTTGGTTGCCCGTCAGCTCCTTGGTACTCCCCCTCTCTGCTGGATTTACTAAGATCTAATCCTGCTCCTACTCCAGCTTTCCAACTTAACTGCCTGCACAGAAGTCGCTGTGCTTGGCTGGAAACGCAAACTGGGCTCTGCAGTCCTAGCAAACTTCGCCTGGCTAATGTGTGGGGGAGCTCCCCGTGAGAAATTCTCCATGGAGAATTTCTAATTGATATAATGGAACTGTTAACCATAAACAAAATTAGCAGCTCACTGTGACCTTTGACACGGAAAGTTTAAACTAGAAATAAAGAATTTCTTCATGGGTGGACATCACTTTTGGTCAAGCTGGTCATTCAGACAGCATAGCACATTTACTTGTTATTAGATCATTGGAAATCATGATGCATTTTTGCATAGAAAAAACAGAAAAATACCTTATGACTTTTCCAATGACCCAATAGAACAGACGATATTTTCTCTATCTGTAAGAGTCTGAAAATAAAGAACTGTAATATACTATTGTTACCTGTACTGCCCCTGAGAGATTTTTCTAGAAATATAGTAAGGTGGTAGTAGAAGTAATTATTTTAAGATTAAAAAAAAAAAAAATCAGTGGCCTAACAGCTTACTGAAAAGTGACTGAGAATATATGAATATAATTAGGACATGAGATAACTATTTCTTGCTTGTTTTTATTAAAAATTTTTGGAGAGGTTTTTGCTATAGGGTGCATGCACTCGCCAGAAAGACACAGAGACAGAAAGTGAGAAATCACCCCCCAAGGGGGATGACCACACCACAATCCCTTCTCCTACATTTTCCTCTCAGGATCTTGGGCATGCACGCACACATGCCTGGCATGAGTTTAAGCCACTGGGTCCAGAACTTGAACCATGGTCGATTACATGGGAGTTCGGTGACATAGCCATTATGCTAACTGCTGGTCCCTTTCTCGCTGATTTTTGAAAGCTATTCAGACATCAGACAGTTTTAAAAAGGGTAGAATTAATATTTTATTATCATTTATAATCAGATGGCAGTTGGGTATATAGTCTCCATACTTCACACTTTTTGTAAATAAAAAAAAATTACAAGTTTTAAATAGCCGATGGCTGGTTATGGTTTCAGAAAATATGATTAGATTAATTCAGTGATGGTGGCTTCAAGCTTTTCCTTATTAGCTCCGGAAAATTCACCCACCTGTTAAGAGAATATTGAATTTACATTAGATATAGCATTTAAGACTAATTTGTATAAAAGATATATATGATCATAGGATGAGGGCAGAATGGGGGGGAGCGGAGAAAGTATAACCTTATTTAAAATAAACTTCACCCAAATAACACACAATTCTTTTTAAGTTAAATTCGCATTATGATATAAACACACAGCGCTAATTAAGGGAATTTTAGTGACTAGTTCTAGCACAGATCAATCTCTAAGATGTCACATTACAATTTAAAAAAATGAAAAATGACATCTGAAAATATTAGAAGCAGAAAATGGTGCCGTGCTTCACACTGTGGCGAGATAAGTCACTTAGTTTTTCCCCTCATGTAGACATTTTCCTACTGCCCAGGCTGTTTTCTCCGAAGTCCGACGTACGTACCTTCTGTCCCTTTTTAAAAAACTGGAAGGTGGGCATGCATTTCACTTCACACTCTGAAGCAACATCCTGGGGGGGGGGGAGTTGGGGAGAGAGGATAAAAACAAGACTATGAGTACTGAGCTTTGATAGAAGAAATTCAAAAACATATTCTCAATCGAATATTCTGACGGCTATCGACCTCCTCTGAGGAGCGCCAAGAGGCAGAACGCTAACGGCACCAGCTACTGTGCGCCCATCGATATGCTATTTAATGAAGTTCTCAGCTATTTCAAGGAGCACAGAAGCGGAGACAAGGTCTGTTGTAGTTGGACCAAACTATTCCTCAGAATTGGCACCTCTTGTTTCTTGCTCAGCACTTCCAGGTTTATTACAGACGTGGGGTACAGAGATGATTACAAAGGCCAAAGCCCAAAGTCAGTAAGAAGGACCATGAAGGAATTGTGCAAGAAGGAAATCACGAATCCCCGCGATCTAAAGGGACAGCCCCACATTTTTTTTCCCCTGCTTGTTTTTGCTATAAGGTGTGTGTACTCGCTAGGAAGGGGAGGAAAGGGGGGACGAGGGGGAGACCACCCCTTGGGCAGCTGGCCACACAGCACCCCTCTCCTCCACTTTCCCATGGGGATTTTGTGTGTATATGCATACGCCGGGGCTGGGACTTGAACTGTGTGGTTGGCCATGTAGGATCCAGCTGCCTTAACCACCACCTTCCTGGCTGGCTCCTGTGTGTTCATTTTTAATTAAAAATGAATTTGTAGTTTCTCAAACCCAGCTGCATTATCAGAAATCACCTGAGGGATACCACGAGGTTCTCCCAATTGAAATCAAGTATCTCCCTTAATTCAGTGTAACTCTACTGCTCTGACTCTTGAAAGCCACCTGATAAGAGAAAAATGGACAAACTCCTAGCACTGCAATTGGGCTAGTTGGTGCATATTTGTCTTCTCCTAGAATTTTCAGCAGCTCCTAGGTAAAGAGTAGCAAGTATTCATCGATTTTGAACACTAATTGAGAACTTTTACCCCATCCTCAATATATTATCAATGCTATAAAAGGACAACGTTTGGAGGAAACTACTATGAAACTGGTTTGGTTTGGACATTTTGGGTAAAAGGATCCAGCAGGGATTGAAGAGGTCAGCCTGGCATTGAAGAGGGCTGGGAAAGAAACGCAGAACCTCTCAGCATCCAAGCAGAAAGAACCCGAGGACAGCACCCCAGGGAGGAGTGTGCGACCTTGACCACAGAGCCAAAGGAGCACTTTCAAGGGACAGGAAGGCCAGCTGCAAACACTGCTGACGACCAGGAGGGGGCTGGATAGTACTGCTGAACGGTTCTTTTCAGGTCGTCTTCTTTCTCCTTCTTTCAATGCTGGTTGACCGGCTGAGCATGAGATCAGTTTCCAGCAAGAGGCACGGGACAGTAGTGGCCGGAATGCAGAGGGTTAATATGTACCGAATGCCTGCTACGTTCAGACACTGCACGCACTGAAAGCAAGGGTTGGAGGGAGGTGACCAGGCGCGTCCGGGAAGACCCTGACATTTCAACTGTGTCCCCACTTCTTAACTCCAGTGACTGCTTTGCGGTGGACACTACCAGGACTGAAAAGGGGGTTCAGAGTTGACAGAAGACCATGAACTGCGCTGTGTCAAGGACCTGGAGGAATTGTGGGTGAGCAGCAGGAAGTCAGGTGACAAGTCAGAAGGGCAAAAGGACTGGAACAGCTAAGAGTAAGAGTAAAAAGTTGTAGTGGATGAAGTGAAATCTGGTTCAGGTAAGTCACTTGGTCCCCTTAAGTGTCTAAAAAAAAAAAAGACCTTGGAATCAGCAGCCCTCTAGCAAATATCTCTGAAACTTGAATGTCTGAGGACACCAGACTTGCCCCTCATGACATCAGGGAAAGCAGATGCCTTTCTGGACTGCGTACCTGCTTACTACAGTCCCTACCTGCTCTACCGGGCACATTAAAACCCCCAGTTCAATCCCATTTTTCACATAAGCAGTTAGTATATGTTGAAAGGAAGAGGGTGTGAGTTTTTGTTTTTGCTTTTATAGCCAAGGTGGAAGGTCAGGGGCTAGCAAAGGATGAGTCACCCTTCTCCCACTTCCTCGGATCATAGCAACATATGGGGGCTTGAAACTGAGTTGCCATCTCCTGTGAAGCTGTGCAAGACCACAGGACCTGCACACTGAACCCCGACTTCTGGATGAAAGAGCTACTCCTAGGCTTTATCAGCACAAAACGTGAGAGTCTAGTAGTGCTGTCAGCCTCTGGATGGTTTATATCTGTCCAGAGAGCAGCATTCCTGTGTACCATTTAAAAACTGGAAAGAAGGGGAACCAGCAGTTAGTGTAATGGTTATGTCACTGGACTCCCACGTAGTCGACCGCGGTTCGCGTCCCGGACCTGGTGGCTTAAAACTCACGCTGGGCGCATGTGCGTGCGTGCCCAAGATCCCGAGAGGAGAATGGAGAAGGGATTGTGGCGTGACCATCCCCCCGGGGGGTGATTTCTCGCTTTCTGTCTCTATGTCTCTCTCTGTCTATCTGGCGAGTGCACGCGCCCTATAGCGAAAACCTCTCAAAAAAAAAAAAATCTGGAAAGAAGGTAGATGCTTTTTATGACAAGTGGAGCTAGAGCATTGTGATAAAATTCTTGTGTTGATTTGTGTGCAGACATTTTATTTTTAAAAATTGCAGCCAAATCTTCATGTAGTCAATTTTTAGTTGAAGCACTGAAATTATTATTTCATTATGGGTCAAAGTGATTTTTACAGGATTTCAGACTATAAATTCAATACCCTAACAAACTTGTAGTCCTCCTGCTTCCGCCTTCTTGAGTAGTTGGGACAACAGGCCCATGCCCCTGTACTGGCCTTGACTGGACTGGGAATCAAACCCAGGCCTACCGTGTGGTCCAACCTGTGGAACACAGTGTCTTAGCAGGGTGTACCACCAGGGCTGGGCAGTACCAACATTTTGATGATACTGAGTCAATACTCAGGAACACCGTATTCTCACCGACTAAAATCTTTTATGGACCTCGGTAAAGTTCTGGTAGCTCCATAACTACGTTTGATCTTTACTGTCCACAGTTAGTGTTTTATTAAGTTTTGCTACAGGGACTGTGCACTCTCCAGAAAGAAACAGAGAGAAGGCAAGTGAGAAATTACCTCCAAGAGGGGAAGGCCATGCTACAATCCCTTCTCCATCCTCTCTTGCGACTTTGGGCATGCATGCATGGGCATATGCCCAGTGTTTCTCAAGCCACCAGGTCTAGGACTTGAACCACACAGTTAGTTGTGTGGGATCCAGCTGCCATAAGCACTATGCCACCCAGCTGGCCCAGTGTTTTATTCTTGTTACTTTTGTTTTCTTCTACTTGTTCTATGGACTAGTTTGCCTATCGTGTTGTAACTTGAAAAGGATGCATACTATTCAACACTTTCTAAGTAGTCACACCTTTGAGATTTAGAGAATATTCTCGATCCTAAGCTTATCACTCCTTCATTTAAAAATAGAAACCAAGGGCCAGCAGGTGGCAGAGTGGTTAAGACACTGGATTCCCACATGGCCGGCCATGGATCGAGTGCTGGACCTGGTGGCTTGCTTTCTAACTTTCTCTCTCTCGTAAATGTACATGCCCTATAGCAAATTAAATAATAATAAATTGAGTAATTCTTAAAAAAGATAAAAACAGATACCAAACACAAGGAAGATGAGATTAGCCTAAAGCAGAAGTCAAGCTCCACACCTTTTATACCATGTCTGACCCCCACTGGGGCTAAGCAAAAAGGTTCATTCCCTGTACAGAGCCCTGAGTGACGCAGTGAGCTGGGTGAGCGGCAAGGCCATGTGCTAAGACCCCGATCTGCACTCACCAGGAGGAAAAGCATCCTTGAGAGGGTGCAGGTTAAGAATGGGGCCAGGAAGTTCAACTACATCACTTTAAGTTCTGGCTCTGCCAAATACTAACTCCAAGGACAGCCTTGCCATGCTTTTTCATTTGTTAAATGGAGATGAAACGGCACAAAGGACTGGACGAATCAGTACTTGAAAGCATACTGAACAGTGTCTGGCATGTATCAAGCACAAAACAAGCATTTGTTAAATTAAACAATCTTGGAATTTCTCCAATTTTTTTCTGTTAGCTCTCTCTCAGGCACCTTGGTGTCTGTTTGTTAAAACATTTGGGTTTTCTAATTCACTAAAGTTAACCAAGACTAGAACAAGACTTGCGAATACATATTCCCCTCTAGGAGAAGCCCACAAAGAACCTTAAAAGTGGTCTTAAAATTTGGCGATACCATTACGTCTATAGACTTGGCTGTCATGCCCAAGTTCATTTTCTACGTATGGAGCTCTCAGAGTGGTAGGCAGGACACAGGGCTTTAGGATGGTGAATGATTGATAAGGTACAGGAGCCCCCATCATCTGCTTGTATGCTTATTTTAGGAGGCGATGTACCTAGCTCCTGATACTCAGGAGCTCACTCATCATTGGCAGGCTTACCTGTTCTTCTGAAATAGAACATTTTACACAGGGACATAATTCTAGTAATACCTGATGTAGTTATGGCGGATAAAGTACTGTGTAATTCAGAGAAGGTCAACCCAGAGTGGAGCAGTATCTCGGACTCTCAGTTACGTACCTGACAGTCATCCACGTCTACTTCAAGGAACAGAACATTGGAATACTTTTCAGAGAGGGACTGGAAAATAAGAAAAAATCCAAAACCATTCAGAACTGGGTCATGGTAATCAACATGCTCAAGCTTCTTAAGTGGAAACTTACAAGTTGAAACAAATTCAAGGTCTAAAAATTGAGACTAGGTTCCAGGTAAGCATTAAGGACGTATATCGTGGTTGTCGGAAGTCATGACATATTTTTTCCATGTTTTTCTATGCAAAATGCACCATGACTGTTCCAACCCAGTATTTTCATCGAATCGAATTATTTTTTAATGTAAAATAATTTGGCCCATCAATTTTGAGGCCTGAATTTCCAATAAAGTCCCTGCTTCGACTTGAAAAAAAATGCATTTAAAACAAAACTAACCTCTTAAAGTTTTCATCAATGGGCTACATGTATCGAACTTAAATGATTTAAGTTGTTATGCTACTGTGTTAAGATCAAAGATCCAGGGGGAAAAACATCCAAACCCCACAAAAACCAAAACCTTTTACTGTCCTCTTTCCTAACTTTGTGATCTCCAGCTGAAAAACACCCAAATCTCTTACAAAGATCTTACAAGGATACTTACATGAAAGAAAGGCTTGATCATTTTGCAAGGCCCACACCACGTGGCCGAGAAGTCAACTACTACGAGCTTATCTCCTGCACCTGCCAAGGCTTCATGAAAAGCATTCTAAAAAGGCAAAAGAAGTTTATGTTAGTGTCTTTTTCAAAAGCCCTGGAGATGTGATAAAACAACATAAAGAACTTGGAGGTGCCACTTTCAGAACCTATTTTTTTTTTTTTTTCATTTTCAGGACCTATATATATATTTTTTTTTTAATAGAAAAAAAAAACAAGGCAAGCCCTTGGTATGGTGGTTGAAGCAGCTGGATCCCATCTGGCCAACCACATGGATTGAGTATTAGACTCAGTAGCTGGAGAAACACACTGAGCGTGTGTGTGTGTACACCCAAAATCCGGACATGGGGAAGAAACGGAGAAGGGACTGTGGCAGTGACCATCCCCCACGGGGAATCCCCCCTCTCCAATGAGTACACATGTTATCTGGCAAATGAAACAAACAAACAAACAAACAAAAAACCCAAACTATTAAAACCCAAAATACCCAAATCCAAAACAAGCCAGATAAACTAAGTTCAAAGAACTCCTACACAATGCTGGTACTGTGACCTGATAAGATGAAACAACGTATGTGTAGAGAATAACGATAGCCATCATCTTCTTGCGTATTCGATAAAATATTGCAAATTGGCAAGTTTATATCTAAACTACGCAAATGAAAGGAAAATTAAAACAGATGTGTGTATTAAAAATGTTTCCACATGCAATCTAGGCGTGTGTTAGAGATTTACTAAATGCTTATGGAATATCAAAGGGGTCATTTCAGTTGAAGTCACAAGGCACAGGGCTTTGCAATGAAGTCATCACAAGCTATTATAAAAAAAAAAGCTAACACTTTTGATTAAGCTAATTTGTCTATGGTGGGACATAAGGAAAGCTCAAAAACAAAAGTTAAAGAAACCAATGTTCTCTAAACTCCAACTTCGATCATGGTTGACGTAAGTACACTTCCTTGTACTTTATGAGATTTGCAGAGTTGAGATCACCCTGTTAATCAACCTTGGATTTTTGCTCTTTATTTCCAAACTATGCCTTCACTGTTCATTAAATGAACCATATCGTAGTTTCAGTTCTTCATTAAAAAAATTTCCTTTAGATGTTACTTTGCACAAAAAATGCATATAAAATAAAATTCCCAGCAGAAATGATTAAGAAGTCCTTTACCACCAACCTCCCCACCCTGAATTATTTACTAAGGTCTCATGACTGTAACCTTAGGAACTTAACATTCTAGTTACAAAGGACTCCTTTTTAACCACAATTAGTCAGTTAGTGCAGACTAAAACTAAATCCAAGACAACTTAGATAAATCAAAACATAAACATCTGTATCTCGAATCTAGGTTTTCTTCAAGGGAGAAAGTCTGGTAAAAATGGTTTAATCAAAAACCACCATTTCTCTCTTCTACAAGTTAAGGCTCCTATTAGATCTGGTCCAGGAAAGAAGGGAAGTCAATCTATAAAATACCATAAGGTAAAAACTAACAACAAAAACGGGGGGTGGTGGTGGTTAAGGGAAACAGATTCTACATGGCTGACTGTGGGGTTCAAACTTCAGGCCTGGTGGCTTAAAAAACACACTGGACACATGTGCCCCAAATCATGATGGGATGGAGAAATGGAGAAGGGGTGGCAGTGTGAGTCTGCCCCACTGGGGGTGCTCCCCCTGGGCTGGTAAGCGCCTTGCCCTTGGCTTATAAACAAAAACAAAAACTAATGTGAATTCTCAGGCAGTCCAGGTATGTCTTAAATTTCTAATTCTTATTGGCGTCTGCCTCAATTCCTGTTGACGTACGGTGTTTCTGAGAAAAGCACTGCATGACCCATTTCTCAGCTTTCTCAGTGCTGCAGATCCATACACCCACTTCTAAGTGTAGAGAGATGGGGCGAGTGGGTCATGCAGCAGACACTAAGTCAGAAGTATAGAAATTATTTTTCCAAACCTTCACTGACTATTCCAGATGAATTTCAATCAAAGCCTGCCCTAATGTGATTTTCAAAAGGTCGAACCAGCCATTCTCTATTGCAAGATCCAGGTAAGAAAAGAAAAAAGGTCCAAGAATAACAATGTCTGATGTAATGAACAACTTTTTAAAGAACATGGCTGACCCTCAATAGAAACCTGATGAAAATTACTTTCCACATAGAATGAGTGTATTGGGTTGTCAAAAGAGTCATGACACCTTTTTTTTTCAGTTTTGCTATGCCAAAATGCATCATGACATTTTTGACAACTCAGCATTTCAAGCACACTCAATGTTTCCCTAAAAGAGTTTTGACTCAAAGTCAAGAAAAACTATCGAAATTCCAAAAAGAGGCACACAACTTCTGGCTTCACCCAACATGAGTTAGAAAGTCAGGTCTGTGTAGACATCACAAATTCCCTCTTCCTGATACTTAAGTTTGCCTGAAATGGGTATTAACTGAAAAATTATCAAAGTTGATCTAAGAAGCAAACCACAATTTCTAGTGCCCAGGATCTAACAGGATTCACAAACGTCCCCATGTAGCTGGGATAGATATACAAGGGGGAAGAGTTCTAACACCTCTTTTCCTAAATATGCGCCCCACAGGTAATACGTAAACATAAGTGGTTTGTGCCTCGTATGCAGGAGTTCAACCAATGGTAGCTGTCACTCTTAAAAAAACAAATGTTAATTTCTTTCTCATCACTGTTCATAGCCCATATTCCAGCATGTCTGAAACAGATCACACTGGCACTAAACTACCAGCACAATGTCCCAGAAACTGAGTTTCCTGGGTGGCCAGTGGCACCAACAGTAGCTCATCTGGGTGCCCATCTAAGGTATGCATTATTCATAAACATTAAATTAGTGCAACTTTTGGTTAATGGATCCGGATCATCACTTTGACGGTCAAGTGATGATCAGTCCTTTGGGGCCTGGCTATAGTGCTCTGTCCAGTATCCAATTTCCGGTCACTCTGTACACCTTTCTCACAGGTGGGGGGAGGAAGGTGCCATAACCCCAACAACGACACACAGAATGACTGCCAAGTGCTCTCCATAAATCAAAACCGGCATTCGGTCTGCAGTGTAATACAGACGGCTCAAAAGTCTTCCCGCTCCTTGAATGGGTTCTCTCCTGCTAGGTCAACAGAGGAGGCTGACAGATCCTGGAGAGCAGAACTCTGTCCTCCCTTCCCCAAGCAGGGACTGATAATTTATCACACGGTAGATGCTGGGAAAGAACTATGCAACGAAACTATTAAAGAACTCTTACAAATGAGAGGGCTGCTATCTTTAATGAAAAAGCTGAATGTTTTATTTTTTTTTTAAATGAGGATCCCAGTAGGAAAAAATGGGTTAAGGACCAACAAACGTTAAGGACAACCTAAGAGGGAAAATAGTGGAGCGTCACTAAAGTAACAAAAGGATGAGGGACAAGCGAAGAGAATCCTGTTTCTGAAGCCCACTCAGCACCAAACGGGTCGGGACACTCAAGACAGGAGAGGTTCTGTTTTGCTGTGCTTTCCTGGGGGTGGAGTGAGGGGCATCCCAGGGAAGCAAACGCTTGTGTGGGCGGGGGGGGGGTGTCCTCCACTGCTGAAGCTGCATCTGTCCCTACCCCAGCTCACTTTCTGACCGCATTCATTTAACAAACCTTTCCTGAGTGGCTAAGTATACATCGCACTGCATATTAGGCTGGAAGGTATTTCTTGCTCTAACTTTCCAATATGGAAACATGCTTTGGCATTTTTTAAAAGGGCAGAACCACGACCTGGGACCCCGATGACCGTGGAGCACACAGCCGGGTGCGGCTCCCTGGGGCAACGCGGGCTCCAGCCAATCCCACAGACTACGGGTGAATCACAGACGGGTAGGGCAGCGAGGGCGAGGCCCCTGGGCCCAGCCTTGGGGACTGAGTCATTCCAAAGCCAGCGGCTGCCGGAAACACACCCTGCGCCGCAGGAGGAGGAGTCCTGTGGGCGCGGGGCGGACCTCACTTCCTTGCGGCCACCTGAGGCCCCTGCAACCCCGGCCTGACCCGTACGCGCCAGAGGGGACCCCAGCTGGGAACCGCCCCTTTGCACCGAATCGCACACATCATCTTGGGGTCTGGGTAGCAGCCGGGGGCCTCCGGCCTGGCCGCGCTTCTAAAAGGGCTCACCCCACCCTGCGCTAGTGGCATTTTTTAAAGGAGCGGTAGCCAGCGAACTCGTGCCTCCTCCGAGGGGCTCTCCACCTCCTTGCTCAGGCCTGAATCCGTACGCAGAGCGGGCCAAGGGCGGACCCCCTCCACCTCCTCACCTCTTCCCGAACGCCGGTGGAGGTGCAATGTGGGAATCCCCAGGCACACAGAGCAGGGCAGTCAGGGTACCCCGTCCCCACCCTCCGGGAGCCCTCATCCCTGTCGATCCACAGGAAGGCAGCGCGGCGTCCTCGCCTTCTCCAGCCAGTTGCCTTCCCCAGCTACCGAGGCTGCGCGTTGCGCCCTGGCCTGCCCCGGGAGCGCATACCATGCTGTCGATCTGCTTCACCATTTTGGCAGTTGGGTCGCCGACAAGCGCCTGTCCGAACCGATGGAAGAAGATCAAAAGCGCGGAACAGAGCTTGGAGGGGAACACGCAGCGCGCCTTCCCTTTATATCAACGGGGCGGGGCGGGCGGGTGCGCGCGGCGTGCGTGTGGCGGGGGCGCGCCCGCCAAGGCGCCCCAATCAGGCCCCGCCCCTGGAGCGCAGAGCGGGCGCCCGGGCCTGGCGCAGGCGCCCCGCGG